AGAGCCTTGTACTAGTAAGTGAAAGCTGAAAACTCTGTTGGAGTATGAGCAGAAAGAAACATCTAGCTGTGTAGAACAGGAAGGAAGTGGTCAGATGGTGAGAACACAGCTAGGCTTCTAAGATCCTTTGTATTTAATAAATAGATTTTAATGCAAGGAAAATACTTTTTAAATGTAAAATTAATTACCCTCTTTTTACTCATAGACACTTCCTTAAATACTGATTGGACATTGATTTGATACCTTTGGATTTGTATTTCTTTTTTTATCTTGCTTAAAGCTTTTTCAGTACAATGAACAATGTTCCTTTTTAAAGTACAAGGCTAGGCTGTTTCCATCCTCACTTTGGAACGGAGGGCACTTGGAATATGTTGTTAATACTGCTGATGATTCAGAACCTATGCCAGATGTGTGTTAATATTATTACACCAAGTATGAGTTTATGTACTTTGGCATGGATTTTCTTCTCGTTTCGTTGTAATACACACAATTTTTTGATGTGTGCTCACCGCACTTTGGTGTGTATGTTTGGCGTGTGTCTTTTTACGCTAAAGTAAAAGTAGGACTCTTTTCACAGCTATTGGCTTCTCTCATGTTTCTTCCTCACCATACTGCTATTCCAGAGTTTTGGGTTGGGGAGTGAAGGAGAGGGCTCTCTGCATTTTCTGTAACAAAAGCCCATTTACTCCCAGCAGTCAGACCCTGTCATTCTCATCACCTTCAGACGTAACAACATGGAAGCGGGTAGGAGAGGGCGACTACAGCTCTGACAATTGTTTAAGACGCACGGCCTGCTCAGAATTGGTAGCCACTAGTTATAAATTTCAAGCTGAGTGTGCTGCAAGAGCTTTGAGAGTATATAAGCTATCAGGTGCTCAGTGCTGTTACATACCCACTACTGTTACCTAAAACTTTTCCCTCCCACCAGGGTCCCTGTAACTGTACCCTATTTCTAAAGCTAGATGTATTCTTTTACAGTATGTGATCCAGTGATGGGTGACAAATGGAATGGAGAAGGCTCTATGGTTAGTACTTGTCTGTTTGGATTCTCTGTATAGTGCATATTTGCTGCATAAAGATGTATAAAGATTTAATAGTTTTTGAACACCAAAACGAAGCTATTTTACCTAGGCGTGGCTTTGGATGCCAGCATCAAATAAGTTTGTACTTCAATTTTCTATATTTGAATGACTTGAATATCTGAGAAGAATGATGGCTGCATAGCCCAGGGATTATTTCTGACTCTCTGCTGAGACAACAGGTGGAATATAGACCTTGTCCACAGGAAAATATCCCCCTGCTCCCCCTCCTTGTCTCACTGGAGTTCCCTCATCTTCTGCCAAGAGCTCTGTTTTGGCTGTTAGCCTGGCTGGCATTGTCAGTGATTGTGTGAATTGACATACCACTTGAAGCTAAATGAAGCTGACTTATTTCATGTGAGATTCAACAGCTGTTAGGGACTGGGCTGTGATCAGTGACAGAAAGGTTCTGTGTGCCAATACGAGACTGCATACTGACAAAGAATCATTCTTTTTGATCAAAACTGGCAAATAATTTCAGCAAAAATGAGATGTGGGAAGACATCAGCAATAATGGTATTTTGTGTTTTCTTCTGCCTTAGCTAGTCTTGCAGTAGGAATTCCTCTTTGTCCCTGTACCTTTTTACAGTTTACCTGCTCATAAAACATCACGTGAAGTAGCATTTAGTAATAAATTTGCCATTGCTTTTGTGTCCTGTTCTTTCATTTTACATCTATTGCAATGTTTATTGTCCGTGGCTTAATTCTAACAAGGCAGAGATCTAGCAGCTGTTGAGTCACCTTGCAAAGCTTTAGCTCTTGGGAGAAGTCATAACCATGGGCCTACCTATGTCTTTTGGGTAGAAGATAGGGTAGATGGAAGAGGAGGAGAATATTTAACATGGAACCCACCAACTCATTCCTGCCATAAAAAGTAATAAAATTATTATTTATTTAGATGGGACCTAGTCTTGCATTTCTGTCTAAAGGTAGAGTCCCTTTGACGTCATGGCTTCACCATGGCTACATGAGTGAGTTCAGTATCAGTATGATGGGTGTTCTGGTGCACCTAGTGGTCAGCACTGTGGTGGGGTTGTATCTGTTGCTGATACAATTGGAATGGGAGACAGTAACACATGGGCACATGTATACGTGCACCCTGCCCTGTGTAGCTTATGAGATTAACAGAGAAAATACAACATGGATAAAAGGGGGTATTAATCCTGATTTGGCAAGTGGGGTTCTGCCAAAGAATATCAGCTACTAGTAAACAATGAACTTTTATTAAAGGTTTTGTTAAATTGAGTTACTCTAAGACTCAGGAAGGTGAGGTGATCCCTGTACTCATCTAACCCAAATTCCTAGCTGAGCTCCACTCTCTGACAAAACAGCTGATGCTTTTCAGCTTTAAGTCTGAAGAGCATACAGGCTGGTGGGCTCCCTTAATGCCTTAGTGTATGTCACCTGCTTACACAACCTATCTCCCTTTGCTCATGGGCCGTGTTTAGCTAATGAAGATGGGATAGAGATGGAACAGACAGGCGGAAAAGGGAACATTGGCTCTCATTACTTGGAGAGCTGATTCTGCAGGCAGCGAAGCACGCTGGCATTTTGTTAGACTTGGGTGCAACACAAGCAAAATATTTTTAATGTCCTTATCAGAACTGCTTTATAGATTTAAGTTGTACGGAATGAATTACAAATCTGATTCCTGTTCACACATACTGATGTACAGCACACCCTAGAAATACTGCACTGAAAGAAGGAGGCAAAATAACGTATAGCATGGCTGTTGCTTGTTCCTAAGCCCCGCAATACAACACAATCAATGTGGGCATGCGCTGCCGCAGCAAAGGGCCTCTGTACTGTCGGTACAACAACAGAGTGGTTTCTTTTGGAGGTAAGGACATGAGAAGGGGTTCCCCGTGTTGGGACACTGTATTTCCTCATGCTGCTGCGTCACCTTGGCGAGTTCTTCATCCAGGCACCGCTTCATTTTAATGCTGCCAGCTTAGGCCTGTCTGCTTAACAGTGCTTCCTATCCCCTCTAGTGAAAGAAGGGCTGTTGGTTGGACTGTCACCAGCTGGAGGGTGCACTGGCTGCCACTTCGGTTGCTGCTACATAATAGTATGCTGGGAGCTGTCAGGTTACTGGAAACTGTCAGGAAGCTGAGGGAAGGAGAGTTGCAGTCCCACATCTCAGATGCTGCTGACAACATCTAATACTGTTTCTTCTCCGCTAGTATGTGCCCAAGGATCTCCTCCCAGTCTACAGGGACAAAGTTGTACCTGTTGCTGATATAATTACTCCTAACCAGTTTGAAGCTGAGTAAGTACTTCCGTCCTTTTATGCCAAATAAACTTGGGGATAAAAGCAGGAGAGACTGATACCCATTTTTTTCCTCAATACAGTGCCACATGTATGTATGTGTTGGGGTTTGTTTCTTAGCTGTTACTTTCAAGTGGTGCTTTTCAGCAAATCCCCAACTGCTCCATATTGAAACCAATAAAAAATCTGGGCATTATGTGAAGAAAAAATTTCTTTTGTTTCCTCCAGTCTCGTTTTCATGATTACCTCTTTTTATCTCCAGAGGCTTGTATCTAGGGCAGGTTGAAAAATTACCACTCTTCCCTTCCCTGTCCTTACCAATTCCTAGGAAAATTCTTATTGTATGTTAGAATATCAAAACAGATAGTTTGACTCAAACCCACAAAATTAGAAATACCAGCATGGCAACATCTCATAGGACTTAAGAATTTAGATGCCTCCTGCCCATCCTGTCTATGACTCTGGTCAGGAGATAGTCTGTTGTGATACATCACAGGCTGTCCCCCTGAGGGGAGGGAGCAGCTACGTGGGAGATGGAGAGAAGACACTTGTGAGGGAATTTTATGATACAGTGATCTCTACAGGAGGCAGATTAGGACTGGTGTGAGTCCGCTTCAGAAGCACTGTGTATCTATGCACGTAACTTTTAAAGACAGTGGACTGGTACAGCAGACCATGTAGCTACAAACTGTTTAGGCCTGTGTGGTGCTGTCCAAACTTTCCTCCTTTCAAAGAGTAAACAAAGCAGTCATTGCCTGGGGAACTTTTTAAGATTTCTGTTTCGTTCTCAGGTTACTCACGGGCAGGAAGATTCACACAGAAGAAGAAGCTTTAGAGGTAAGTAGGCATGGGGTACAATGGGTAAGATCTCTTTCTGTATTCCTGCCTGCAATGCTGCAGTTCGCCATTTGTCTTTAACCTTGAAGTCACTTTGGCCTCTATTCTTTCTCTCCATTTATCATTAAAGCTTCTGCACTCCAGGTGCAAAACACTTTCTGTTCTAGCGTCAGACTTCTGAAGAAAGTTCCTGAAAGAGCTACAGATAAAGGCGTTACAGTGGTAATGATTAGATCTCTGTGAGCTTGTTTTTCTGCAGTCTAAGAGGGGTAGCAGCAGCACAGATGGCAAGTAACCACACGCTATCAGCACTGTGGAAATACACTGACTGGTGTGAAAACGCCGGGTGACCCTGGGCATTAGAAAGCTGCGTGAGTCGCTCCCTCTGCTGTCCACGTGTGAGTCGTGCAACAGCAGTGCTGAGTGTTAGGACAGCCATTTCCCATTCTCTTATACAGACTGCAAGGAAGAGGACTTACTAGCAAACTCTTACAAGGATTGATTGAATACACTCTGAATCTCTTCCTGACAGCGTTTGCTGGTGGTCTGTTTCTCTTCCTTAAATTGACTCAAGGAGGGTGAGACCTGGGTTGCAAAAGGGTAAGTTGCATAGGTGAGAAACCAGACTGGGAGTGATGGCCTTCGGGTGCTTCCTGGCAAAAGAGAGGCAGATCCACAGCATTGATGGCTGCTACCATCGCCATACAGAGATGATAGATGGTGCGCAAATATACTGCAGTGAGGTGTAAGGATTTACCCTTTTACACAAACTGAAAAAAATGAAAAGCTTCAGGGCTTGCTGATGAAGGACAAAATAGGAATATGGTTTTATTGGTGTCTTGAGAAAGGCTGAGCTCTTTGTTTTGTAGACTAGCCAAGTGCTTTCATAATGGTCTGATGTTATTTCTTCCAGTTTGGTTTTGAACTTCAAAGGAACACAAAATCTTTAAACAAACAGCAGCTGCAGTGGCACCCTGGAGAGTAGCTGGGGTCTGTCACCCCAAATGTTTGTTGTTGTTTTTCTCCAGCAACGTCATACAAGATGGGCTGATCACCATCTCTTCACGGCAGGAAGCAACACCAAAGATCTCAGCTTTTTTTTCCCCCCCCCCCCCCCCGGTTTTACATTACCCCACTGTGCTGGGTGAGGGCTATGAACTGTGCTTCATGCTGCTAGCTGCTAACAACAACTCAGTTCTTCTACTCTTGTTCTCACTGGTGGAGACACAGTCTTGAGAACAACACTATTAGCTGAGCAGCCATTAGTTTTAAGTTTGCATATTTCAGCTGCAAACACAAGTTGCGTGTGCTAAACAACTTTACAAGTTAGTTTTCTGACACTGATTCATGTGATAGCTCTTATTGGTAATGGGTTTTAAAAAATCTCTTGTAAAGAGAAGGAATTATACTTAGCAATGGAAACACCTTAAAATAGTTGCTTGCAGAATATTATATTTTAATCTGTCTCTCCAACTGTTTGTCATATATAGGGCTATCCTTCTGATAATAATCCATGCTGAATTTGTCTACTTTGGAGGTGGTAGGAATTCTGGCATGAGTTTCCATGGTGCCATGCTTTCATTCATTTCTTTAGCGAAACTAGTGATGACAATATAGTCTTCTAAAATAAAATTAAATATGATGTAATATTAATGGAGAAGGGGCTAAGTCCTACAACTAGAAATACTGGTGATTAGATTCTTGGTGAATTGTGACTGAGAAATGAAATTGAGTTTCATGTTACCTCACAGGTTGATTATGTCAGCATATGCTGGTGAATTTAGTGCTTCTTTAAAACCCAACCAATATCTGTGCAAAGAGGTCTGACAATTGAAGAAACTTGGAGGCTTAGACAAGAAAGAAAATCAATAGAGAATTAAAAAATTACAGAAGTAAATCCTTATCATTCAGCTGCTCATGAGTCATAGCTAGCTTGAGAGGATTTTTAGTTAAACTCTTCTAGGAGAATTAATGTTTCATGTGTTTTATGCTAAAGTCATTATTGAAGTCATTCTTTTGTCTGTGAAATTTACTTCTGTAGCAACCAATTGTGATGTCAGAAGTAGAGTGTTAATGAGTTTAGATGAGGAACACACAGAGTGGAAATACATCTGCAAAGATACACAATTTACAGGTGTATTTCGGGGTTTGAAACAGAAATTGAAAAGAAGATTGAGACAGACGCGCATGTGCCTCTGATTTAGTGCTTTTAACTTTTCATTTCTGCTAACTCTTAAAGTAGTAGCTACATAAGACTTCATGGCCTGGAGTTTTTGGCTTTCTAACAAGCATTTTAAGATGCCAGCTCAGGTGCATGTGTCTGTATATTTGTTCTGTTCTGAAAACATGATGCAGACAAAAATTCTGATCACGGCTGAAACAGAGTATTCTTTTCAGAGGAGCATCCAAAGATAAAAAAAACAGAGATACTTGTATATTGTAACAAGTGTGTGTGTTTAAATATGGATGTTTTGATTCCCCTATTTCAAATTAATTCCCCTAATTCAAGTGAATTCTTTGAATAGAAACTTTTCCTCTCTTTACAAAAGATGCCGGAATAAGGTGCTTGTCAAAAATTCTCAATACTATGAATAATGCAAGGTTTAATTAACACACATTGCAGTCACTAATTCCTGCCTTTTTGCATATGGAAAGGTAATGGATATGCTCCATGCCATGGGACCAGAGACTGTCGTGATCACAAGCTCAGATCTACAGGCACCTCTAGGAAATGACTACCTAATTGCTCTGGGAAGCCACAGAAAAAGTAAGTCTTGGACTCCTTTGTTAAACTGCTTTCTTTTAACTTCTTCTGTGCTTTCAGTTATTTTTAAGGAGTAGTGTCATCAGACCCATCTGTAGTGCCTGGAAGGAGCTTAGATCCCGAAGTGAACTTCTCCTCCGGTAATGTCAGAGAGTGGTGAGAATGGAGCTGCTCCATGATGGAACACAACCTGGGAACTGGGCGTGATCATAGCAGAGGCAGAGCACTGCCCTCCCCTCATAGCACACAGGCCCGCGGTATCTGAATAGGGTGAGCACAACAGGGGTGGTGATGGCGGACAGGTCCTGTTGACAGTCCAGTGATCATCAGAGAAAGGTCAGACAAGCCAGGTCCGAGATTCATCTGGAAAATCCAATCAGTAAGTCAGGACAGCAGGACTGTACCTACAACAGGTACACCTACAACATAGCTCAGGCAAGGATGCTTGCGCCCAGGCCCGAGCTTCCGTGCAGCTCCTGGGCAAGCAGGCAGAGGGTGCATGGGTGGAGGATGTCCTAGGTGAGATGGGTCAGGGCTGTTAAAGCCCCTAGTAGTGGCCCTGACAAGTAGTGGTGGTATAAACCAGGAAATGTGAATGTTTTGAATGCTTTTATGAAAAGTTACACTCTCCTGTTAGCAGATTGTTCCTCCCCGATAGGTTGTAAAATGTCCTTCTGCTTCTTTGTTTATATCCCCTTCTATACCGTCACCAAGATTCACTGTGTGTTTGAACTGTCGCAGAACGTTTTTACCTGACAAGGGCATAGTTATGTGGGATGGTATATGATCTCATTTTCTTGTCCATCTGAGGGATCTGAATATGGGCATCACATTCTGAACTGCTGAGAAACTGAAAAAGTCTTGATATTTAAGACAGATTCCACTAAGAATCAGTCAGTGGGTCTTAGCCCTCAGTACATGCCAGATCTGAAATAAGTCTGGTCATTCCGATGGTGATTACAGTATGGCACGTGGATCAGATATTCTTTGGTGATGTCTACAGCTGCTCTTGTGCTTCTAAATGACTTGGAGATACTCTAGATTATGATTTGGGATGCCCCATCTAGGATTCAGCAGTCTCCATAAATACGTGATTTCCTGAGCAAGCTGCTGCTGTTGTCTAAATGAAAATAGGTGGGTCTCAAGCATTCATGAAGATGAAGGTGCTAGCTACCTGCACCCTCTTAGTGCAGTTGTAAATGCTATCCCAACTTGGCAAAGTTTTGAAAGGTTGCACCTTTTAAAAGAGCTGGTACAAACTTCATGATACTCTTTAGCATCTTTACGTTCCAAACAACAAAGGAATGCAAATCTGGTGATCACTTTTGTAGTAAATGCTATTGTATTAATTGCTGAGTCTGCCTATTACTGAACTGCCTATCTGTGTTGTAGCTAAAGCGGATGGTACCAAGATGACACAGAGAATTCGAGTAGAGTCTCCTAAAGTGGATGCTGTCTTTGTTGGAACAGGAGACTTGTTCGCTGCTATGCTTCTGGCATGGACACACAAGCATCCAAACAATTTGAAGGTGTGGGAGAAGTTATTAATCTGTCTGCAAGTTTAGACTATGTTTTGTTTTTTTTTTAAAATTATTTGTAATCTATGACATTATTTAAAGACTGGCTTTTTTACTTCACCTTGGAGTACAGCTTTGGATGGTTACATTTCTGTTACATGGATTTTGTAATTTTGCCAAATAAGGTGTTGCTCTCTTTAGAGAGAGAGAGACACTGCATGCATGTTTGTGATTATATTTTTTTTACTCTCACTTCATAATAAGCACTGAAAATGATTTATCAGATCTACTTTTCTGTTTCTTGCCCTTAAGCACCTGGAGTCCTCTATACAGGTGTATGGTTTCTAATACCTGTTTTGGGAGAATTGAGACAGTCTAACATTTTTTTCCCCAAACTCTACATTACGTAATTGTCATCATTTTGTATCGTCAGTCATGTTTTCCACTTGATAGCAGTGTTTTTGAAATAATAATACTAAATTAGGCACTTGAAATTTTACTAAAGCCTGAATGTATTATGTTAATGCAGGTGGCATGTGAAAAGACTGTGTCAGCCATGCAACATGTTCTGCAGAGGACCATTAAGAGTGCAAAAGGTAATTCATTCAAACCTTGTTCCCTTGTGCTCTCTGGATTTACATCAGAAGAAACATTCAAAGAGCTTTCTGGGTTTCCTCACTAAACACAGCCCTCGGTACAGAATCAGCCAGCGAATTTACAGAATGAGAGCTCGGTAGTCTTGTCAGTGCCTATTCCTTACTGTGTCCTCCAAGCCGATGTTTGACGACACCCGACTGAAGATGTCACTGTTCAGCTTGTAGTGGGACTACAGTCATGCCTTACTGTGCTTGACTGCTTTGCAAAACAGTGGTGGAAGAACTTGAGGAAATGCTGAGTTTGACATGCAAGAGGGCTTCTGTTTTGAGTATAGCTCGTTCACTTTTCCTTTGAGTGCGTGTGTTCAGTATTGATAGGGGCTTATCGACTAATCCTAAACTGTCTGTTTGTGGTGGTGGCCATGTGAGGAGCGCCCCCCCCCCCCTTCTCTTCCCTTGGAGTTCCCATGCCTTTCAGTTCCTAAGGAGACCCAGATGGGATCTGTGGGTTCTCAGAGCATGTCTGTGTCACTTTCTAATTAACAGCAGAGCTGTGTTTCTTTCTTGGAGAGAGGTGCAGAACAGAGGTGATAAGAAATCACAGTGCTGACCTGGATCTTCCAGTCTTCCACCTTGGAAGCCTTTAGCAGGGGTAGTAAGGATTGGGGAGGGGAGGAGGGTAGAAAAAATAGTGGGGTAACAGAACAATGTAACTTGTTTCTTTTTATACTGCTGTTTTTAATGACATTCTGATGTCATCTTTTTAGCGCAAGCTGGAGAAGGAAACAAACCAAACTCAGCCCAGCTGGAACTGAGAATGGTCCAAAGCAAAAAGGACATAGAAAACCCAGAGATCATAGTGAAAGCCACCGTCTTATAAAGGCTGTATGTCTCCAATAACGCACAATGTATTGATGTCCTCATTTCTTTCCTGTAAATTGTAATATTTGCCTTAGATCTGTGACAGAAACCTGACTTTCATGAACTAGTGCCCAGCATAGGCAGATACCCACTCTCAAACATATGTGCTGGCCTTGCTCAGTTTTAAAAACAGAACAGTTAGTGTGCATTGAAGCCGATTACCAGCTATCAAAATGGCTGTCAAATTCACTTAGTCTGTGTAACTACCCAGGGCAAGAGAGTACAATGTTCCTGCCTTGCCAAAGACTTTAGATGGGTATTTGGTAACGGAATGCTTGACTGACTCGAAAATGTATTTCAAGATGGCATCTAGTGCCATGCTCCCTTCTCCTGGAGATACCTGGTTACTTACTCTGGTATTCAGTATCTCAGCTGCTATGAAACTAAGCAGGGTTAAAACTACACACAAAGTTCTGGTTGTGTGTAGGAGTACTTTGAAGATGTTTGGCATTTAAGTACTCTGAAGTGACCTTGTGGTGTCATTCATGTTACTGATAACTGCTCCAGTTTCTTGTCTATGGACAGCTAGCTGCACAGTTTCGGTTTTTGCAGGTCCTAGCTGCTTTTTTCTAATGTCTGTGGGTGCCCACATGATACTTTCTTCCAAAAGCTGCTCCAGAAACATCTTCATTAATGAAATTGTACCTTTATTCAGTAGCATTGATAAGAAATTTGTAGTTCTATCTCCAAGGCCGAGTTTGTTGATTCCTTAGTTTTTAACTAAGGACAAACATTCTGTAAGGACAAAAGAGAAACCAGCTCTTACCCTGAAAGCTGGCTACCCTCGTTTGTTCTTCATGGGTGGATGTATTTACAGACTGCACAGGGCACTTCCACTTAACAATAGTGAGCACCATTGGCAGGCTTGTCAATGAAGCAATGTGGTAGAAGTGGTATTTTTAGTTTAGTAACGTTTAGTGAGTTACCAAATGCAGTGAAACGTACAAAATTAAGTTGTTCATAATGTAAGTCTCTGCAGCCTATACTGATTAGAGATGACAGAAATGCATTATTGTTAATACATCTTTATTTCCAAATTCAGCTTCATAAGGCTTCAAAATAATTTCCGCGTTCTATACATCACAGCCGTGTATTATACCGGTAGGGCAGATATGCTGACACTCGTACTTCTGTGTGATTTCTGTATGGGACTGAGGTTCTTGCTCCTCCCAAGATGAGGCCTAGGGTGTTGTTATGTCCAAATTCAGTTGATGAGCTTTATGTGTCTCAGATGACATAGGGAGATTAAAATGGCATTTCTGCTTGCAGTGACATGAAGTGAATTTGCATTAGAGGAAAGGGCTGAGTTTTTCTTGATTACCTGAGTATGCTCAGGAAACTCACTCTTGGGTATCTCCCAGATATCTTTCCTGCATCATCCTCATGACACCTGCCTAACTGATAGTGTCACTTGCATAGCTTGGGAGGCCCCAGAAGAGCTGGTTTGGAGATTGCTTTGGCCACCAGAGTCTTCACTTATCCCACCATTTTTGTGGATTTTCAGCCAGTGTAGAATTTAATCGGTTTCACCTAGTAGAAGAGTAACGTATCCTTGAAGTGCATTTTTAGCTGAATAGATTTTTTTCCATAGAGTGAGATTTCAAAATTCATACATTTCTGAAATCTCTCATTTTCAGTATCTCTGAGGCAAATGAAATTTAAGAAGTGAACAGGTTTTGCAGTAAATATTGAGAGGCAAACTTCAGGCTTTCACTCTTAACACCTAATAATAAGTTTATTTCCTTTCATGCATTTGGCATTAAAAAATGGGAAAAAAAAAAATTATATGACTTGAGAATTCTAAGGGGAAAAAAACCCCAACAGATATTACCTACAAAATGTGACTCTACTGCCACAGTTTTTAGTAACCACTGCCATGAAATAACTTTCTAGCAATAATAATTTTGGTCATGTGAACAGTTGCTAAAATCAGCAGTCAGTAACAGAGAGGAGCTCATGGCTGATATCCGACATGTAAAAGGGCGTGAACCGTATTGACAGCGTGTGTAAATACTTGATGGGAAGCAGTGAAGGAGGAGGAGCCAGGCTTTTCTCAGTGGTGCTGAACAAGGGGATAACAGACAATGGGCACAAATTGAAATACAGGAAATTCCATTTAAATATTAAAAAGATATAATTCACTGTGAAGGTGATCAAACACTGGCACAGGCTGCCCAGAGAGGTTGTGGAGTCTCCACCCTTGGAGATACTCAAAACCTGGCTGAACATGGCCCTGAGCAACCTGCTGTACTTGACTCTGCTTGCGCAGTGGGGTTGGACTAGAAGGTCTCCAGAGGTCTCTTCCCACCTCAACCATTCTGTGATTCCATGAAGTACAATGAATTGCCTTTCTTTGCAGCTCTGTATTTTTAAATTGATGCAAATATTTTTTTTTTCTTCCTGAGACACAAACTCCCAGATAGGCTAGGAAATAGCTCAGTATTAATAATTTGCCCCCTTTCTAGGTAAGTTGCTTTTTGCTTGTGCCATTTTGCCAGGAATACAATTGCCTTTTTTGAGACAGGTGCTTTCAGCAAAGATATTTAAATACTGTAGCTGGTGATGCCTTTCAGTGGTTGAACACCAAAAGATTTTAACTGTTTCTAGCATTGATTAAAAAAGTGTTGCATGCCATATTCCAAACATAATTATGAGTTTATTTGTCTTCTAAAATTAGACAGTTTCACATGGAAGCATATAATCTCTACCATCCCCTTGGGAAGAAGAGATCAACATACTGAACTTCCCTGCCCGTACATATCACAGTTGACTTTGTGGCATTGTGCTTGTCACCCTTACCCAGCTGTATCCAGTTTTTCAGCTCCTGTGGGTCACATACAAAAATCTTCAGACGGCCAAGCTTTGAGACCTCTACTGTGTCCTTCAGATTGCCAAGAATTAGATGAATCCCAGTAGCAGTTCACATGCTTGATTTCTATGGTCCTGTGGCTACAGCCCAGATCTTAGCTGGGTCTGGAAGTGGCTCCTGGTGCGCTGTCTCCTGGAGCCAGGGCTCCTATTGCCCAGTGCCCCCTGCACCAGCATTAGCTTCATTGTTGGTCGTGTAACATGGCCTGGCTCGGGAGCTGTGTGGGGCCCAATTGAGAGCCGTATGGTGGCCATCCCTGCACTAGTGTGGTGCAGAATTGAGGTTCTTCAGTTCTTCACATAAGGGGATCAACAGGAGAGAAGTTCAAAATTGCCGTTTTAATTTTTTTTTTAAGCAGCAATAAGTATACCCTGTCAAAAATTGCTGTCAAAGAAACCCCCCCTGTTGTAAGCCTGTACTACAGAAAAGCACTTTTAGTAAGTATGAGACAGCACAGGTTTTCTTTGCCACTGCAAAAAAAACAGACTTTCACAAGGGAATTGAGAGAAAGGCAAGGGCTGGCTTTCTCTGAAATAAAGCAGCTTGGAATTTAGAAAACTTAAAGCCACCTTGCAAACAAGGTTTTATATGTAAACCATAATGAACCATGATCTTGCCATAAGAGTGATATGTTTGTTGGAGCAGCTTGTACCTGTCAGATGTGATCTTTTCCCACTGCTTCAAAGAATGGATCGGTTCAGTAATTCACACCTTCATTAGAATCTGTGACATATCCATGTTAAAAAAAAATATAGAATGATACAAATGTGCTCAGTTCGCAAAAGTTCCTATTTTGCAGTAGCTGGATTGTGTAGCAATGGGCTGCTAGCTGCTTCTGCTTAAGTCCCTGGGAGCTGCTCATGTAGAATCTGTTTAACTCCCACTGACCTGATCTAAATTAGGTCAGGTGTATGTCTTCAGTGAAGAATTGGGCTCAACATCTGTCACCAGGAACAAACACCAGAAGTTATCTGTAAATATATTCTGTAGCTAACGTTTTGTAGTCACAACGGATGAACAGGTGTTTTTAAATGTCAAGGTATACGTATGCATTGGATGCATTTTTATTAGTTCAGAGTTACACAGCGCTTTTTCATGATGTCTGCAGAACAAAATTCAAAGACTCAGCACGTTCCTGTCCAGTCTTTTACTCCCTCCTTTCCTCCTGCATATAATATCTGTAGCTGTTTCTGAGATCTTACTGTCTTTCTAGTGCAGCTGGCAAGTGTTGCAGTATTAGATAGCTGCCCACTATTCATTTAAGGGCTTGGAGGAGACTTATCAGGGTTGTCTGATCCACTTGCACATCCTTAGGTGAAGAAAAATGGTTTGTCTAAACTAGCTTAGGTCCCACTTGGTTACAGAAGAACAAACACTTTAGCCCAGAGAGCGGAGTCAATAACTAATGGATAATCTTGCATGACCATCGTAACAGCATGAAAGGTGTCTGTAACCTACCGGTCCAGCATTCACCAGTTAGGGACTGCTAATGTCACTCCACCTGTATGTGTGAAGTTAGCAGGGAAGGACGCTTCTAAGGCTGAAGTACATGTACCCATGGGAGTGATAAGTGCTTTGTGTTTGTGTCTAGTCAGCTTCTCCACTGGTCTTTCTTTTCGCTTACTGGAAGTAATTTGTGTTGGGTCCCTCCTTTCTGGAATGAACTGTGCAGTGTATGTGGTCAGCCGCTTTGATTACTGCGAGTGCACTGGTTTGCGGAGCCATCGTGTGGGAGAGACCAAAGGTTGTTTAGAAACCATCTACTGTATTCTGGGCCCGTGATGAAAATTCCCACGTACTTCTCTGGGAGACGGGCATAAACATTGTGCTAAAATCAACGCTATTCACACTTGATAGAAACATTTAAGAAATCTGCAGTATGAATTGTTCATGTTGGTGTTTGTTTGCTGATTTTTATCATGAGTGGAAGAAATCTATAGTCAATATGTTATACAAAAGAATCAGAGGTTTCCAGCTACTCATACTGCCTTTCTGAGTATCTTAACTGTGTCTTGATTGGATGGTGTTAATTCGTTGTCTGAGACTGTTACGGTGATTGTATTGATTTTTTAAAAAATTTTACTTTAAAATATGTGGCAAGGAAGATT